GTGGCTGGGTTCTTGTGTTGGCCGGGTATTGTGGGTTCTCAGATGTCTTTGTTTAGTGTCTTTGTTTTAATGACATCTCAGCTCATGTGACACTTATTCAAGCTTCTTTGTCCTCCACAGATTTTTATTTTATTTTATTTTTATTAGTTATTACTAATAATATCGCATTAGGAATGTTGTTTGCTGTTGTTAGTCTGGGTTTAAGTCGTGTCAAGGCTCTTTCCCCCAAGTGTTTTCTTCCTGTTGTTCTGTAGTTTTTATGTTTCTTTGTTTTCCTGCATGTTAAAGCACTTTGTAAACACATGTTTTTAAAAGTGCTATATAAATAAAGTTGTTGTTATTATTATTATTTTGTTATTAGCTTCCACATTTGTTAAGGCTCCATTGATGCTGAACAATATCTACAGGTTTAGGAGCAACATCTGCTGCCATCCAGACAAAGACTTTTTCAGAGAAGACCTTCATATTTCAGCAAGAGAATGACAAACCACATTCTGACAACAGGAATTACAACAGCGTGGCTCTGTAGTAAAAGAGTCCTGCTGAGTAACTGGACTGATGCAGTCCTCATTGGAAAAATTTGGAGCATCATGACTCCAAAAACAGGACAGAGGAGACCCTGAACTGTAGAGCAGCTGAAATCCTCCATCAGGCAAGAATAGGACAATATTTCATTGTCAGACTCCAGAACCTGGTCTGTCGGGTTCACTAAGATTTACAAACTAAAATCAGACACCCCATAACAATAAAAGTATTATGAATGCTTCACGTTGTGTTTACAGCATTTAGTGAAAGATTACCCCTTCTTCTGCAACATCATGATGACATTTCACAGCCACTGTACTCTGGTGACTTACTGTGTACTAATTCAATGTAAGAACTCTGGTTATGGTTAAAAGGGGCTTGCTTTGACTCATGACTGTAATAGATTGAAGTTTCTGCAGTGTATCTGATGGATGGTACTGCAATGAATATCATTTAGAGCCCAAGTCAAGTAATGACTTCAACTTAATCTGTCAACTAGCTCATTAGGAAAGTTTTAGTTGGCACTCATCACACCAAACAGGTTCACCTGACACACGTGGGGAAGAACCTATCAGAGAGAGACACACAGCAGAAGACACAGGACACACCCACAACCACACCCACAGCCGTAACATGGGAATAAAATAAAAATATACTAAATAAGTGTTTCTGTGTGCTGAGCTGCTGGTAATATTTCCAATTGAATTTTCCATTGAATTCCATGAATTCAACACACACTCCATACTTCACTTTGAGTGCCTACTTTGACAGCTGTGACTGGACATATGTATCCTTTGTCTTTGTTATGTTTCTATACACGTTTACTCTTTTTGCAAATCTGTTTTTGATTGGGGTAATCTGTATGAAAAAAAAGCTTACATGAACCGATGTACATCTTTATGTGCAGCCTGTTTGTGAATGAGCTGTTTGGTAGTACAGCACTCTTTCCCTTTCTTCTCTCGCAGCTTCTCTTTGACAGTCACACTGTTTCTGCCTCCTTTTGTTTCCTGCAGATTCTCTGTGTTTATTCTTATGGAAATGTTGAATATGCCAATTTAGTCATCATGTCTTATGACGGGTACCTTGCTATCTGTTTTCCTCTGCAATATAACACTCGTATGCCATCTGGCAAAATTGTAGTGCTAATTTCGGTAGCTTGGTTATTCCCTTGTCTTGGAATTGTTGTTCTGGTATCTCTATTAATCCCTGTACAGTTATGTGGGAACATTATTAACAAAGTGTACTATGACAGCCACTACACATTGTATCAATATACTTCTTTATTTGTCAACCTTTGTTCAACCCTGTTATGTTTGGACTGAAATCCTCTAAAATCCGTAATATCTTTAATATCTCGTGGGATCTATGGCTGCCGGCCGTGCAGGACTGGAAACCATTCCAACAACCCAGTACAACAAGCTCAAGGGCAAGGAGAGGCGGGACCAGGTCCAGCTCGAGGTGAGGGCCGGAATCGAAGAGCAGCGTGCAAGCCAGTGGGTGGGATTGAGGCAACAGGGCGCGTGGACCAGATGGGAGGAAGCCATGGACAGAAAGATCTCGTGGAACGAGCTGTGGAGGGCTGAACCCCTCTGCATTAAATTCCTCATTCAGTCTGTCTATGATGTCCTGCCCAGCCCGTCGAACCTCTTCTGTTGGGGCAAGGTTGAAACTCCAGCATGTCCTTTGTGCCAAGGAAGAGGAACCCTGGAGCACATCCTCAGCAGCTGTTCTAAAGCACTTGGTGATGGCCGCTATCGCTGGCACCATGATCGTGTGCTGAAGGAGGTTGCTGAGTCCATCAACACTGCCATCGTCCAGAGCAAGCGTTTACAACCACCAAGGCGTGAAATCTCCTTTGTAAGAGCCGGAGAACAACCACCTCCCCTACCTAAAGCCCAGTCAGGCCTCCTGGGAACAGCGAAGGACTGGCAGCTAAGGGTGGACCTGGGAAAACAGCTGAAATTCCCTGAAAACATTGTGGAAACCAGACTTAGGCCAGACATCGTCCTAGTCTCAGAGACATCCAAGCAAGTCATCATGTTGGAGCTAACAGTGCCATGGGAGGAGAGAATGGAAGAAGCAAGTGAGAGAAAGAGAGAGAAATATGCAGAGCTGGTGGAGGAGTGCCGCAAACGGGGGTGGCGTGCATGATGCCTACCGATTGAGGTGGGGGGAAGAGGCTTTGCAGGAAAATCACTCTGCAAGGCCTACAGTCTCCTGGGGCCTGCTCTACGAAGCAAGTTCAACCTAGCGAGGTCGCCTTGGAGCTACCTCGCTCAACTTAGCGCGGTAGCCAGCGGTCTCGCTATACGGTTTTACGACGCTGGTTATCAACCTCATAAGTGGATCCAGCTTTGCTATGAGCCCGTGCACGCATATAAGGCGGAGCCCGCCGCATCTGACCAATCGCGAACATGGACCAGTCTGGAATGTCAGAGCAGCTGGCTGGAGAGTGAAGGACCGCAGACTTTACAAACGAGAAACAGGAGACAATCATGAGAAAGTAGGAAGAATTCAAATCTGTCATAAACCTCAAAAGCAACACCGTCGCCGCTGCAAAAGCACGGAGGGAATGCTGGCAGAAAAGTAATCTTTGATGCCATTATCACCCTGAAATAACACTGTTCAACATGCGCTTTTAACTAAGGTGACAGTCCCCGAATTAGATGATCTGTCCCCGGCTAAAGCTGTCCCCGAAAATGTCCCCGATTTAAGCGTTTCATGAATGAGAACAAAAATGTTGCTTGTGGGCTAGAACAACGGTTATTACAGTAGGTAGGAAGCACAAGTAAGCAGTCCTGAACAACAGTATTTACGGGGGTTATTATAAGGGGCGTGCGCTGCTACTAAATAGTACCGAGATGTTGTCTGTGATCACACAGCCCATGCAGCTCATGCCCATTCATTTCCAAGATGAATACACTCATTTGTTCATTCCTATCATGTTTACATGTTTTGTGTAATATGTCGGCCATATGAGCCTTCCATAAAGGTGGTCATCCGGAGAAGTAAGTGGGTCCGTGCAGTCCCTGAAAACTCTCGCGAGCCGGAGTGCTCCTCCTCGGACAATGAGAGCACCGAGGTCTACAGGATCCTCCGAGAACGGACAAGCCGTTTTTCGAGAGAGCTCATTGGTCAGTGGGCGGGGTTTTTATGCTCGGTGAGTTCAATCTGGAACTTAACCTGCCCCGGAGCAGGTTAGCCGTTCAGCGTATATTGCTATGGAGACTCGCCTCGCTAAGAAGTGAACCCGCGTCGTAGAACAGGAAACCCCAAACTTATCCTCGAAGTTACCTCGCTAAGCAGTAATCCTGCTTCGTAGAACAGGCCCCTGGGCATCACAGGGGCACAGAAGAGGAGAGCCATCTTTACAGCTTCTGAGGCTGCAGAGAGAGCCTCGCAGTGGCTGTGGATCCAGAGGGATAAGCAGTGGTTGAGTGCTTCTTGGCCGGGAACTGATCACCCCGGTCGGGTCACCTGGGTGAGGGGGTCTTAAGTTGAAAGACCCGAAACCCCCGATGAGCTCAGGCACTATCACTGATGATCAGTGGCGGCTGCTGGTCTTTCAAGGAGGGGAAGCTCATTTTTCTGGCCTACATCATAATTGTGTTTGTTTATTTGTATGTAACAAAAAATAGTTGCCAAACACAATGGCAGTCGTTTTTAACAAAGACAAAAGTCGCTGAGGATCGGTAAAGTCTCCGGAGCAGTTAAGAACAACGGAATGAATAACTTGGAAAATGCTTTGGTAGATGTTTTATTCTTCAAGATCGCTGATTCGCTTGTTTAGCTTTAGCTGTCAATCAAAAAAGGATTTCGCCTCAGACAGCTCATCCAATCATGGATGCAGAGGCTCGGAGTCCGGGAGAAAGTCGGGACCGCCCTCTCGCCATAGAACTCCAGTGAAGCTGAGCCTCCGATGGGCGGGACAAAGCCCAGCATTTATCCAATGAGCGTCTAGTTTCGCTGCTGGAACAACCCACTTTGAGCTTCCACATTGAAGTCAGCAGAAGCCCAGCGTCCGGCTGTTTAAAGCGCTGAGGCGCTGCGAGGATGAATGAGAACGAAGTTGTGCAGAATCAGCTTCTTATCACACTGTGATATGAAGCTGATTCTGAACAAAAAATGAAGGCTTTCTAGCGCGTATTTAGTTAATAAAATGTACACACAGCAGTACGTAATTCACCACTTTTTCTTTTTTGGGTGGGTGACATTTTAAGGGAAGCTGAGCTTCCCTTGCAGTCTTAGAGCAATCGCCACTGCTGATGATGTGTCCAAGAAATGCATCACTAGATGTATGTGTGACAGGCAGCACCTTGCTGCTGTTGAATGCAGCTCTCCCTTCTCCTCCAACCCCTCCCTTCCCCTATTGTGGCAGGCAGCACCTTGCTGCTGTTGAATGCAGCTCTCCCTCCTCCTCTAACCCCTTCCTTCCCCTAATCAGGTCAGCTGAATAAAAGGCAGCAGCTCACCTGCAGTCGGCCTTCTGCTCTGCTCGGAGTGCTGGTGAGTAGGGTGGCTGGTAACTTTTAATCTTTAGAGTTTTATGATTGCTTTTAACAGCATGTCCTTTTTGTTTGTAGGTGGTAGACCTGCTGCTGTTTTGTTGCCCCCATTAACTGTCGTTATTTTTGCCTGTTTACTTTGGTTGTTTCTGCCCTTTTGATTGGTTTCCCCCCTTACTTGGTTTGTTTCTACCTCTAAGTTTGGTTGTTTTACCCATTTACTCCCCCATTAGTTTGCATTCTGTTCTTAGTTACTCTTAGTTGCTTTTCTCCTTAGTGATTCTAGTTTTACCAACTGGGTTCGCTGTTGCTGGTTTGTTTGTTTCTTTGGTTAATCCTTTTTATTTTATTTCAGAAGTTGAGCCCACTAGTTTGGGAGGCTAGGCACCCGGGGTGAGGGCCCTCCACCTTTGCATGAGTTTGACACGGGGTCACAAGACTACACCAATTTGTTTCTTTTTTGAAGGTTTGAAATGTGTGTGCTGTGCTTCACTTGGTGAGTATAAGGGAGCACTCCCCTGCACTTTCCCGCTGTAGTCCACCTCCCTTCTGGTGGCCTCAGCTTATTTTAAGTTAACTTAGTTTGGGTTTCTTTGATTTAGTTTAAGTTGGGTTTATTGTACATTTTAACTGTTTTTAACTTTTGTAGAAGGCCTTGTTTTAAATTATTATAGAAATAAAATTAACTTTCTTGACCCTTATCTGTGTTTTGTTATGTTGTTTTAACTTTATCCCTTTCTTTCCCTCCTAGGTTAAATTTCTCAGTTATATTTAAGTTTAACTTCATTTTTGATCTAATAAACACTTTGAAATATTTTGAACTTTGTCTCTGCCTCTTTCAGAATTTACCTGTGTTGCCTTGTTCTTATTTTAGCTTCCTGTTATGATTTTAGTCTGAAAGTACAGTTTCCTGGGGTGCAAGTCCCCAGGTGGCGTTGCTGGTTGGAGACAATATCATCTAATTGTGAACAAAATAGCACCCCTTGCCACATTCGTAAGAATCATTAAAAGTGTTGCTTTTGCTCAAACTTCAGATATATAAACCTGTAGGTTCAGCAGTTGGACTACGACTTTTTAAACAATGGTCAAGGAAATTCATTCTCAAAAGTCACAAAAAGCTCAGATTTTCTTTGCGCAATTGTACCCTAAAATTAAGTGTTGTGTAGATGTAAACATTAACTTTGTTCAGTTAACTGGAGCACTTAATAAAAAAAAGTTTGCATGATTCACTAACATGTAGAGAATATGCAATTAATGCTTACATATTTTTTTCTTTCCACATTAAAGATATACATTTGCCAGCTGTTACGCCCCAGTCTAGGGGTGCCTAGGGCACAACATGAGAAGGCCTCATCGTCCCAAGTAGCCACAAACAGAGATTTATTTCAATTTAAAGAAAAATGATTTATTTACATAAATTAGTAAATGGACATATAGATATAGAAAAATAACTAAAGCGGAGTTGTTAGGCTTCAGGGTGGACTAAGGCCAAAATAACAACCAAAATGATCCTGTCTATGGAGTAAGTAACTAACCTAACCAAACCAAACAAAGGAAACAAATGACAAAAGACTTACCTCCCTAACTAAAATACACAGAAGAAAATAAGGTTAACAAAACTGGCAGTCCACCCCTACTACTCAAAGAAAACACTACAAAATACTCCACGGTTTAAAGCAGCAAACAGTGTGGCCTTTTGGGAGAGGAGGAGGATGAGGAATGCCTGCAGCCCTGCCCACGGTGGCTGCCATCTTGGTTCCTCATATAGTAGGTTTCAGCCAATTGCTGTCCAGGACGTAGAGCCAATCCACCAATGACTGCACGGCTGTGGCACATATCTATTTGCATAGGAGATTGACACAAAACACAGGGGGCACACACACACACACACACACACACACACACACACACACACACACACACACACACACACACACACACACACAGCAGACAGTCTACAAATTATGACCACAGTCATAACACAGCCCAGGGCATAAGCAAACTAAGCACCTGCTTAGGGCCCAACGGCCAGTAGGGGGCCCCCAACAGCAATAGAAAAAAATATATATATATTTATATATATATATATATATTGCATGTATGAGTGATGCTTTCTGTATGTTCAAATATATGTTATTGTAAAAATTAAATAAAATAAAGTAAAAATATTTGCTGCTGCTGATGTAGGCCTATGATGCTTACTACCGATATGTCAAATAGTTGGGGCCCGAAGACACATTTTACTTCAAGTCATGATACAAATGTCCCCTTTGGTATGGAAGTACCTTAGGGTCATAGAAAACATTTTATCCAAAGAGACAAGTTAGATCACCCTTCAATTTTTTTAATAGCCATTTTAAAAATGGCTGCCGACAATAAAACGCTTATACACCAGACCCCGTATCTTTGCTTCTGTTAGAACTATAATCATAATATTGGTGTCAAAGTGCACATTTTTGGGGTCTAGGAATTCAATTAAATAGGTTTCAATGTTAAAAACCCAATGCTTCATTAATTACCATGACAGTGGGGGATAAAATATGCTAATTTCTTTAAAAAAAAGGTACATTTTGACAGGGTAACATACCCTCCCACCCCTCCCCCTAAACTGAGATTTACTGTTCCTTTGGCATGGAAGTACCTTAGGGCCATAGGAAATAAATTATCCAAAGAGACAAGTTAGATCACCCTTCAATTTTTTTTAATAGCCATTTTAAAAATGGCTGCCAACAATAAACCGCTTATACACCTGATTCCGTATCTTTGCCTCTTTTAGAGCTATAATCATAATATTGGTGTCAAAGTGCACATTTTTGGGGTCTAGGAATTCAATTAAATAGGTTTCAATGCAAAAAACCCAATGCATCATTAATTACCATGACAGCGGTGGGTAAAATATGCTAATTTCATGAAAAAATGTATGTTTGATGTTGACAGGGTAATTTACCCCCCCACCCCCACCCCTTCCCCTAAATGTAGATTTACTTTTCCCTTGGTATGGAAGTACCTTAGGACCATAGAAAACATTTTATCCAAAAAGACAAGTCAACCATGTCTGTAGTCATTTGAAAAGGGAGAAGCTACTGAATCGATTGGCATCAATCTTTCCAAAGACTACATTTCCCAGCTTTGCAAAAAGCCGGGCGTAAAGTGTTCGTAATCTGTGCGCTTTTAGGTACAGCGCCCCACAGACGAAGGCAGGATGCTGCATCGCACGCTGATCACTCGGGACTCTCCTGTAAACTTTCTCCACCACTTATAAAACTTCTCTTGAGTATCTCTTGAGTATCTTCTGTATTAAATAGGAAAGTAATACAAACCTCAAACTGAACCTCAAAGTGTCTCAGATTTTCTGTCACCTCTGATTTCATCCAGCTGTCACAGACCCTGGTATAGAATTCATGTTTTGTGGCAGCAACTGGCTACGAGAGGTGTAACACTCAGCAGTCATACAGACAGATACAAATGCAGTCAGACAGAGACACATAGGGCTCTATTTTCATGCATCGCTGGAGACGTGCCGCAGGAGCGGCATAAGTCAGGTCCGCCGCGCCGACAAGGCGTTCCCAAGCACATTTTGGTATTTTGGTGAGCAGTGCAGCCCGGCGTAAGTATCCCCCCTCCCTAACTCAGCTCCTCCCAGCGGCGTAAGTCGTAGTTAGGGAGGAGAAAGGGCGAGGAGTGGGTTTAACACAGTCGAGACCAGTTTTCACCAATCACATAAGCTCCTCTCCTTGCCTTTCAATCCGCCACCAGCGAGGCGTATTACTATTTTCGGGAAGTAGTCAAAGAGATCAAGAGATGTCTGAAGACAACAATGCCACACGATGGTGACAGAAGGCAGCTCCTCAACAAGTGTCACTGTAAGCGCTGCATTGGGCGTCCTCCACACTCTCTCATATGAGCACAGATGGATTTGGTGTGTGTAATGTTGGACCCACTGGTAAGACAAACACCCTTTTCCACAAATAGACACTCACACAAAGTTGTATATATTCAAATCTCACATGACAAAGGTGGGTTGTGCGCACAGATCACAACATAAACTCCAAAAATGGCATTAAAATCGAAACCATCTGTGCGTAAATGACGCATCGCGCTCCGTGGCCTGGCTCTTTCTTTCATAGATGTTGGCATATAAAATAAATTTGACTCACAAAACTGAATATTATAATATCTGTATGTCGGCTTAAAGTAAACAACTCATCTGATCACTGAAACAAATCATCTGTTCAGCTGCAGCAGGACGGAGAGAGGACACGGAGACATGTCCAGGTCGAGCTGTGCGAAAAATAAGAGGAAGAGGAAGAAAGAAAAGGATGGAGACGAATTACATATCTTGTTAACTTCATCATGTGTGTCTATTTACTAGATATTTAATTTAATTTAATGCGGTTTCAGCTGTGTTGATTCGGTCAGGTTGTGTGTCCAAACGCGTGCCAAACGTGCTCATCAGATCAGATATAGATCAGAATATATCGATATAGATCTAAATGTATGTGCTGGCTCAGATTATTAGTTGTTGATTATTTATTGCACTGAAATGTGCCTGACACTGTGGAAACCTGCCGGTGAGGCATCGGTGACGGTCTACCAAAATACCTCTAGACCAGCTGCGCTCTGCCTGCGCTGAAAGCTGACCAGGTTTGAATCGGCGAGCTTTCAGCACACTTTGGTGCGGCAGTAGCTCAGGAGGTAGAGCAGTCGTCCAATAACCGGAAGGTTGGCGGTTCGATTCCCCCCTAATCCAAGTCTGTCCGTTGTGTCCTTGGGCAAGACACTTAACCCACCTTGCTCCTAGTGTGTGTCCTCCACTGGTGTATGATTGTGAGTGTTGTGTGGTGGTGGTTGGAGAAGCCGTAGGCGCAGAATGGCAGCCACGTTTCCACCACCACCAAAGTGTGACTGCGTGAGCGAATGAATGATGTATCCAATGTAAAGCGCTTTGAGGGTCTCTGATAAAGCGCTATATGAAATCTGATGCATTATTATTATTATTACTTTACACGCCAGTGGCGAGCACAAAAATGTCACTGCGCCCGCTGATTCTGTCGACACCTCCCCCTGCCACGCCATCACGCCCAGCTTGGCGGATCTCGGCTCGCCTCCGTGTGCCTCAGTCCATGAAAATACCAAACTGGCTGTACGTCCGCCAGACGAAAATACAACTGCACGGGGTCCGCCACCCTCCGTCGCCTCACCGGCGAGGCACGAAAATAGAGCCCATAGAGTACATAAGAGGCTGTACCATTTTTCTTTTCTTTTTTCTTTTTCTTTTTTAGGGGGGCATTTTTAAAGTCACCTTTTCGACACTTATTTTGTTCATTAAATGTGCATCCTTACCCCCATTGTGAGGGTAATGAGAAGACTATATATTTTTTAGTCTGGAGACCTTTTCATATGGATTTCTTGACCCCAAAAATGTGCACTTTGACACTAATATTAATATTATAGCTCTCACAGAAGCGAAAATATGGGGTCTGGTGTATTAGTGGTATATTGTCGGCGGCCATTTTTAAAATGGCTATTAAAAAAAATTGAAGGGTGATCTAACTTGTCTCTTTGGATAAAATGTTTCCTATGGCCCTAAGGTACTTCCATGCCAAAGGAACAGTAAAGGAAGGCCACCCCCTTAAATGTGTAAAGACATGTCAGGCACATTAAATTTATACTGTTCTAGGTGTATGAATGATCAACAATCAATATTATTGGTAGAAATAGAGGGCCCCAAAATCAAATTTTGCTTAGGGCCCCATTGAGGCTTGTAATATTTGAGGATGACAAACAAGACTGCTGTGGTTTTAGGTTGTTGTGAAGGAGTTTCAAAGAAATGGAATAATAAATTTAACTTTTATTTAGAGCTGTTGGAAAGTCTGTTTTGTCAAATATATTCTAATATTTCTAAAGTTTGTTTTCAAGTATTTTCACGTCTTTACTGTTCAAAGGCTGTTTGTGTCTTTATACCATAAATAATTAGCACCAAATATTTTTGGT